AAAAAAAAAAAAAAAGACTATAAAGAAAAGAGATTCTTCCAGATCCTTGGCCACGTATTCTCCTAAAACATAGACAATACGGAATTTAAGGCCAAAGCCAAAGGCATTAAATAACCAGCAAATGACACAAGGTAGGAAGATCAGCTTGTTTAGCATGTATACACAAAATACAAAAGCCAAATTAAAAAGGCTAGAACTCCCACAAATATAAATAGAGCTGGACTTCAAAAAACTACAGTGAGAGTTTTTGTTATACCTCTCAGAATCTGACAGCCAGGCAAGCAGGGATATAAGGGCAACTGAAGTTAAGAGATCTATCTAAAGTCAGTGTCCCGCAGAGTACCTATTTTCTCCTTTCACGCCCATGAAACATGTTAATATTTACCATGCAGTTGGCCACAAAGAAAATTTAATACCAGCCAGGTGCAGTGGCTCACTCCTGTAATCCCAGCACTTTGGGAGGCTGAGGCGGGGTGGGGGGACTGCTTGAGGCCGGGGCTTTGAGACCAGCCTGGGCAACATGCTTCATTCACTCATTCATTGATTCATGAGAGTGAATCCATTTTGTGAAAGCAGCAAACCCTTGCAGGCACCTAGGTCTGCCTGAGCACGGAGCGCCATGGGGAGGGATGTCGGTGGCAGGCCATCCACATGTTCCCTTCTGGGATTGGAAAGGGAGGAGGGTAAATCGAGGCAACAGGGTCAAACACGTCCTCCTCGCCTTCAAAGCCACCATTTCAGAGCCTGTCTAAACTTACTATCATCAGATCCTCATGTCCTGCTACTCCTCACCCATTCATTCCAACCTCGCTTCTGCTCCCATCATCCCACCAAAGCAGCGAAGGCAGGTGCATCTTCTCCATGTCACTCACCACAGCCGCGATGCCAAGCTGACTACTCCATCCCACGAAGCAGACTCACCCTGGCTCCTGCGATACAACTCTGTGCTGGCTTTCTGGGCCCCTCTCAGGCAGCTCTTTTTCTGGGTCCTTTATAGGCTCATCTTCCTTTACTCAGCTGTTCAAGGTGAGTTCTTCCATCTCGCTGTGCCCATGACTTCAAACACAAACACAACCTATACAAATGTCTGTCTAGCCAAGACTCCTCCTGAGCCCCAGACCCACCAGCTTATTTGGTATCTCAAAGATACCTCAAACACAGTATGTCCAAAACCAAATACATGATCTTCTTCATCCTCCAAACCTGGTCCTCATCCAGTGTCCCATGTCTCAGGGACACCAGGGGGATGACTCTAGGGTGAGTGGGGGCGGTCTCTCCTTTTAAGCACACCATGCAGGGTGAGGCCAACAGTGGGTTCTCAGTAATGAGCAGTTCTACCGGAACATGCCTTGTCACCTACTTCCTAAAAATAGCCGTGACCTTTTTAGTGGACACAGCAAGCTCACATCTGCTACCACCACTCCTTCCCTACTGACACATGCACCCTTTCCCCCAGCGGTGCCACTCCCCAGGCTGGATGTGCCATATGCTCTCCAGCCTCCCCGTGGGTAGCCTCCACATTTCTCCTCTCTGCCCTCACTCAGATTTCCCCCCATCTCAAGTCCTCCAAGTCAGCCACCCCCAGGTGTGAGGGGCAGGGGACATCTGACTTCCCTCTCAATTTCCTTTCCTTCTTTTCTGCTAAGGCGGAGCCTAAGCCCCTGGAAAACTAGAGATCTCAGAACCAAGCTTTGACCACCGCATGCTCCACCCCCTGCTTCACAGCTCCTGGCAGTCACACACCCACTATATCAACATCGTCATTACCACCCCCTAACTGATCTCAAACCCCTTTGCAAACATCTCATCTGATTCTCCATTCCCGGCAGGAATTTTATCATCCAGAACTGTTCTGTGTGGGGGGAGGCTCAGTGTGGCTGGGTGGTTTGTCCCAGGATACCCAGCACAGAGAACTCTGTCCCCCAATTTCTTGGTTGCCCCCACCCATTCCTTCCTCACTTCAGCATGGGCAAGGCCAACTGTGGTCTGGGTCACTGTTCAGGCTGTACTTTTAGGATCCTCCCAAATAACAAACAACTATGTGACTATCAGGTCTTTATTTCATGGGTTACAGGAGACAGGATCAGTAGGCCTAATGTGTAACAGTTTCAGCGGTTATCAGAGAGTTCCACTGAATTGCAACAATTCCCTTTAAAAGCACAAACGCCCACCAAGAAAACCTCAGTTTCTTCATGAATCCTAAGAGCTTTCCTATCTAGGTATCACTCAAAATTCCCACTATTCCGGGAGTAATGGGATCAGAGAGTGCTGCAGAGAAAAATCCACAGAAAGTGAAAAGTCTGTTTCCTTGGCAGTGCTGGTGAAGCACACCCTTGCACACACGCTTCCCCATGGGACCCACTGCCAGGAACTGCTTCAGGCTTATGGGGGAAGACGGTGGCAAAGAAGAGAGAGGAGGCCGGGCAGGGTGACTCACTCCTGTAATCCCAGCACTTTGGAAGGCTAAGGCGGGCAGATCATCTGAGGTCAGGAGTTCAAGACCAGCCTGGCCAACATGGTGAAGCCCCGTCTCTACTAAAAATACAAAAATTAGCCGGGCATGGTGGCGCATGCCTGTAATCCCAGCTACTCAGGAGGCCGAGGGAGGAGAATCATTTAAACCCAGGGAGCAGAGGTTGCAGTGAGCCAAGACTGCACCACTGCACTCCAGCCTGGGCAACAGAATGAGATCTGTCTCAACAACAACAACAAAAAAGACAGAGGAAGAAGAGAGGTGAATCCAGGAGGAAGGAGGGGGTGCACCAGAAAGGTCCTGAAACCTCTGATGTTCCAGCATTCAGCATGCATTTTGGTTCCACATTCACCTCCTGCCCACACCAGTTTCTTTTCTCTATTCTACAGTTCCCAAGAAGAACCCACACTAACCTATTCTGTCTCAACTCCCACTCCTGTCATCCCAAGTCACACATCACCTCCCCAATCACGTGAACTAGGCATCACTAATCGATCCTGGCCTTCTAGACACGTCCACCCAGGGTGGGCCCTTTCTATAATATCATGCATAAAGGCATCAGATGGGGCTTCCACTCCCACCTCTTAGTCCCAATTCATCTCCATCTCACCCTCCCCACATTTCTCTGCCTATCCAAATCCAGCCTTCAAGGTCCTATACTTTAACCACAGGGAAACTACTTCCCTGTGCTGCCTCTGTTGTTCAACTAATGACAACTAATTTTCTGAGCACCTACATTAGGCAAGGCCCATCCTGAGTGCTACCACCAAGAGGTAAGTCAGAAATAGCCTCCACCCTCCAGAGTCAGAAGACAGGGCAGAGATAAGCCACATGGCCACACAAATACTACGCACAAGGCGAGAGATGAGAACTGAGTCAGTGCTGGAGGGGCTGAGTGAGCTCAGAGCATATCCCATCCCTCCTGCTGGGCAGCAGGCACCGGGATGGCTCCCAGGAGGGTGGAGAATCCTGGGCCAGACCGGGAGGGAGGGCATTCCAGGAAGACAGAGAGCATGAGCTTAGCATGAGCTAAGCCAGAAAGATGGTTCAGGAGAAGCGCATTTAAACTTTAGCTGAACCTTCCACTGCTACTATTTACTGACCCTTACATCTGATTATTTATGACCCAGGCCTGCCTCACACACTTTATGGCTAATCTGGGTGACACCCATCTGGGACACACAAGTGTGGTGCAGCAGTCACCACCTGTTCTGACTGGTCCGTACCTGAGCGCTGTATGGTTATTAAATGAATGAATGCACTGAATCTCACAACAAACCTGTGAGGCAGGGATTAGTATTACCCCCATTTTACAGATGAGGAAACAAAAGCACAGACAATAGTCGGAGACAAGATAGCAAGGTATGCAGGAGCCTGAAGTAGTGGGCACCCAATGCCAGGGCAACAAACTGTCCTGGCACCTCACCTGGCCTCTCTTGTCAGGGAACACCTTGCAGCACAAAGAATGCGTTTAGGAAAGGGGGCCTGTTAATCCTCCTAGAATCCCCAACAGTTAGTTGACTGCCACATAAAAGGAATGAGGAAAGCAATGAGAGAGCCAGTGAAGGGTGAGCATGCCCTGCAAACCTTTAGTCCCTGTTGCGTGGGCAGGGCAGGGCAGGGGCTCGGCCTCACAGCTCCACTCCATGCCTAAGGCAGAGAACAGATGGGAGAACCACCACAAACGCCCAATCTCTACAGAGAGGTCACTGATTGGAGGGCAGAGACAGAAATGCCCCGGGCCGACTGTTTCCAGCTTGGGCTAGCACTGGCTGGCTTAACTTTTCCCCTCCAAAGTCTCTAGGTGACAAATTTCGCGTGTCTCCTTTAAACCAACAGACCGTTTTACCTTTCTAAGTCTTAAGGGCCTGGCCTGCACTCATGGGGAGATACAAGTCCAGGAATCCCTTCCTGAAACTGGGGATCAAAGTTGGGGAAGGGGCGAAGGGAGGCACAACATCGGGGATGGCTCCCGCATTCTCTCAAACATTGGGGAGAGTTCCTTACAAATAAACTGCAATGGTAGCAGCTCCCATGAATGTGCGTGCTCCCAGTTACGGAGGAAAGTTCCTGAAGATAGCCTTGTCTGTTTGCTCTCCCCCAGCCTTGCCTGAAAGAGCGCGCGCACCCCGGAGGGCCCTGCGGGGCTGCGGGGCTCGGCCTCCGGCATCCCTCCAGCCACCCGTTGCCTCCTCCGCCCAGGGTCACGGCCCCCGGCCTTACCCAAGCCCAGACTGAGACCCTGACCCCTGAACCCGGGGGGGGGGGCGACGAGTGCACCCCGACCGCACAGGAGGGGGCAGCCCCCGACGCCGAAGCTTATTGAGGGGGCTGCCAAGCCGACACGGCCAGCCCGGGACCCGCCGACGCCTCCTCTGTCCCCCACCCCCACGCCTGTAATGCAACCAGGAAGCAGCAGGGTCGCGCTGGGCTGGGCGCGGGGCAGCCCCAGGCCTTACCTGCGGTGCCGCGGTGCACTGCCGCCGCCTGGTCCCAGGCCCCCGGCCGGCCCGGGACCCTCACTCACCTGGCCACGGGCACTCGGGACGCGAGGGGCGAAATGGGACTTGGGCGGGAGTGGTTCTCTCCGCGGGCGTCCCGGACGCGGTGCCTGGGTTCTACCTGGCGCTGTGTCCCACTCCCGCTCGCGGGGCACTCGGGGCACTGGGGAGTCGCGGGCGCCGCAGCCTTCAGGGCGGGGCGGGAGGAGGAGCTTGCTGGGCGGAAAACTCCGCGGGCGCGGTTGCCCCAGGCGCCGGGGGAAGGGCAAGGAAGGGGCGAGGCCTGAGCGCGGCCCCGCCCCGAGATGAGGCTTGGGCAGGGCGGGCCCGCGAGCAGCAGCGCCCTTCCGGCTGCGCAGCTGCTCCAGGACGTCTCCGGCTCTGGAGGTCCGTCTGTCGCCCCTAACCCCCTGCAGCGCCCGGTGCAGCGCAGAGCCGCATTCGCCCTCCTGCAGGGGTGGGCATTTCCTAAATCCTCTCCAGCCCCGTGTGCGTCGTTAGTGACTCTCTTTAAGGTAAAGAAAACTTTTTACACTGAAAAGGTCAAACACATTTCTTTCATATCAACACTCAGTGGTGGTGGAGGGGGGAAGGTCACGCACAGTATGTGAGGAAGGGAGCGGTCAGTTACTATCATGGAGAAACCTGACCAACCACCCAGCCGTCAAGGTGACCTCGACAGGGGTAAATCATACTGATTGCATGCACCGCTTGTGGTCTTCCTCCCAAGAACACCTAATCCCACTGTAATCATGAGAAAAACATCACAAATCAATTGAGGCCCTTGCCATATACATGACCAGTACTCCTGAAAACTAGCAAGGTCATCAAAAACAAGGAAAGTGTAAGACACTGTCACAGCCAAGAGGAACCCACGGAGATATAAAAATGACATGTAAAGTGGTATCCTGAACGGGATCCTGGACAGATAGTAGGTAGAAACTAAGGACAACTGAATAAAATATGGACTTTAGTGCGTCAGTTTTGGTTTATTCATTGTGGCAAAAGCGCCACACCAATATAAGATGTTAGTAATAGGAAAAACTCGGGTTTATGAGAACTCCCTGTATTCACACTTTTTCTGTAAATCTAAAGACGTTCTTAAAAAAAAAGCTTATTTTTAAAAGGTCACACAGGTAATATATGCATATATGGTAGGTATGCAATTTTTTTTTTTTTTAAATGTGTGGTGGCTGACACCTGTAATCTCACAGCACTTTGGAAGGCCAAGACAGGAGGATGGCTTGAAGACAGGGCTTCCAGACTAGCCTGGGCAACATAGTGAGACCCGGTCTCTAAAAAACTGAAAATAAAAAATTCAAAAAATGAATAAAAATTGAGATTCACTCTTCTCTCCACTCCCCCAGCCCACTCTTAGGCGTGTCCTTCCAAAATATCTCTCTTCAATACTGTGTGTGTGTGTGTGTGTGTGTGTGTGTGTGTGTGTGTTTACATAAACATATTGTTTACAAAACAATATTGCAGTACTTTTCTGCAACATGTTTTTTTACTCACTATATCTTGGAGGGTCTTTCCATAGAAGCCCTCCCGAACAGACCTAGTTCTTCCCATCCGCTGCACACTGCGCGCCATTGTGCACTTCACCACTCTTCACTACCTAGCTCCTTACTGAAGGACATTTAGGTTGTTGCCTATGTTTGACTGTTACAAACAAGCTGCTGGTGCGATTTTCCTTTTTTTTGAGATGGAGTCTCCCTCTGTCGCCCAGGTTGGAGTGCAGTGGTCTCACTGCAACCGATCTCGGCTCACTGCAACTTCCGCCTCCCGGGTTCAAGCAATTCTCCTTCCTCTGCCTCCCGAATTGCTGGGTCTACAGATGCTCACCACCACGCCCGGCTAATTTTCATATTTTTAGTAGAGACGGAGTTTCACTATGTTGGCCACACGGATCTCGAACTCCTGGGCTCAAATGATCCGCCCGCCTCGGCCTCCCAAAGTGCTGGGATTACAGGCGTGAGCCACTGCGTCCGGCCCGATTTGCGTTTTAAAGTCGCTCCGAACAATAAAAGCGGGAAGGGCTGGAGGGGAGGCTCTGACCTTCTCCCTGTCTGGGCAGGTGTGCTGGTGCCGGGCAGGAACAGCGCCTTGCCTTGGGGCATCCTGGCCCCGGCCTCACAACCGGCCCTGAGCGCTCAGTCATATTCCGTGGCCGCTCCAACACCCCCGACCCCCACCAACAGGCGCGGCTCTCTTTCGGGGCTGGACCACATTTTTTGGACATGAGTCCGCGAGTGAGGGTGAAATTCAGGCCAAAGTCTCCAGAGCGGCTCGGAGAAAACGTCGCCTGGAACTGAAGAGCAGAGGGTCAGAGGCACCACCAGAAAGACTCTCAGAGTGGGTTACTACCCCGGTGGCGGCGCCCGCCGCGGCGTAGGAGATGGCAGGACTGAGGGCGCGGGTGTGAAGCCTCCAAGAAACTGGGTGAAGTTCCTGGAGTGGTAATGTCTCCAGGCTCTCTCTCTGGGCCCGGGGATTGGTCCGGAAAGGACTCCTGGCGCCCACCCAGCCCCCCTGCATAGACGCCTGCGCCAGCTCTGCAGCCCCATAGCGACCGCGAAGGCCAGCGTCTTTGAATGGCCCATTTTTCTCCGTGGCTGAGCGAATACCTAGAATACCAAGTTGATAATAAATCACGTAGGGTGGAATTCCTGCTGGATGTATACACCTTTCTGCGTCAGAGCTCTTCGAACCTAGAATGGTGAATAGCTACCCCTGGGCTTACCCTTTTATAATTTTCAACAAACCTGCGTTTAGCCCCAGCTAGGTGCCAGCAAGCTACTAGGGACTGAGGAGCCTCTGCAGAGGACCCGAGCTGAGGTCCTAATCCTCAAGGCCAATGGCAGGAGTCACTGCCCAGGCACCCCCAGAGAACGCAGTGTGAAGGAAAAGACACCAAACTCGGTGTTCAAATGTGTGGGATCTATTCTAGTTCTGATTCTGACACTTGCAAGTCGTGCATCCTCCGAGCCTCGGCTTTCTCACCTATAAAATCTTCAACGTGACCTATAAAAATCCATAAAATCACCGCTGCTTCATTGTTTCCCAGGGCTCATAGAAACATCACACGAGGTAAGGGAAGAAGGTGAGTGCCTGGTAAAAAATGGTGACTTGCTATGTAGCTCTGAGTAGTATGGTGTATAAAGCTTCGTTTTTTAAAAAATTTTTATTTTATGTGAGTCACCGCGCCTGGCCTCTTTTGTTGTTTTCTAATGAGTATATATGACTATCATTTCCCTCAAAAGTCTGCTTTAGCTGAATATCACAAGTTTTAATATGCTATGCTTTTGTTATCTCTTAGTTATAAATATTTGGATTTTGTTGTTGTTGTTGAGACAGAGTCTCGCGCTGTCGTCCAGGCTGGACTGCAGTGACACGATCTCGGCTCACTGCAACCTCCACCTCCGGGGTTCAAGAGATTTTCCTGCCTCAGCCTGCTGAGTAGCTGTGGTTACAGGTGCACACCACCACACCCAGCTAATTTTTATATTTTTAGTAGAGATGGGGTTTTACCATTTTGGCCAGCCTGGTCTCCAACTCCTGACCTCAGGTGATCCATCCGCCTCAGCCTTCCAAAGTGTTGGGATTACAGGTGTCAGCCACTGTGCCTGGCCAATATTTTGTTTTTTATGTTAGTATTGTACGCTTAATTCATGGACTATTTAGAAGTATATTTTCCATTCTTTTTTTGTTTTCAAACTTCAGTTTTTTAAAAAATAATAATAATCATTTGGGGAGGGGCCCAGTGGCTCAGGCATGTAATCCCAGCACTTTGGGAGGCCAAGGTGGGAAGATCACTTGAGACCAGGAGTTTAAGACCAGCCTGGGCAACACAGTGAGAGACGTCTCTGCAAAAAATAAATAAATAAATAAAATTTAAATAAAAGTAAACCAATCATTTCATTGTTGATCTCTAACTTTACTGCTTGGACATGAGGAAATGTGTTCTTTTAGAATTTGTTAATGCTTTATTTGTGGCCTCATATACAGGTTTTTTTTGGCTGTCCCAATTTTTGTGAATGTGTCTTCACTTTTTAATGTGTTTTTTTTTCTCTCTCTCTCTCTCTATAGCTCTCCATCTAGCTTGCTAATCAGGTTATTTAGATCTTTTATCTCCTGGGGTTTTTTTGTTTTTTTTTTTTCTCTCCTGTTCAATCCATTGATTTCTGAAAGAGTGGGTTTAACGTTTCCCACTTTTATTGTAGTTTGTCAATTTCTCCCTCTAATTTAGTCTGATTTTGCTTTATACGTTTTTTTTTTGTGGTTTTTTGATTTTTGTTTAAGAGGCAGTGTCTCACCATGTTTCTCAGGCTGGAGTGCAGTGGCTATTCACAGGTGTGATTATAACTGCAGCCTCAAACTCCTGACCTCAAGCCATCCTCCTGCCTCAGCCTCCTAGGTGACTGGGATTACAGGCATGTACCACCTCACCCGGCCAGCCATACAATTTTGAGAGCAAATTATTAGGCTCATGCAAATTAACATTATTTTATCCTTTTATGACTTATTCAGTTTTATTACTTTTTGTATTAATATTGTTATCCTGAGATTGCATTTTTCTAGTATATATTTTATTTCTCCTTTTTTACTCTTTCTGTATTGTTACTTAGGTTTATCTCTTGGAAATGACATTTTTTTTTACAAGATTTAAAAATTTCATCTGAGTTTCTGTTTCTAATTTGTGAGTTTAACCAGTTCACATTGATAAGAATAGCAGAAATATTTGGGCTTATTTCTGCCATCGTTTGTGTTATACATATGCCCTTGAAATGGATATTCATCTAGAACACGTCAGTAAAATGCTATAAATTATTACAAACTGGAATTCTTCCATGCTGCTTGGTAAATAGCTGCTCACCCGAGACCCCACAGTGCCCCTACCCCTGACTTTCTTCTGATCTGGCAAAAAAGGGTCAATGCTTGTCACAGGGAGACCCTCTAGGACCTTTTCTGAGATTAAATTTTATAACTTGGTATGAAATACTAACATCTAAAAGACAACATAAAACTCAATCCACTATTACAACAAGACTGTCCATGATAAACTGGATAATGCTTCTATCAATTTGAGAAGTATTAAGATTAGACACTGCACAGAAAACTCAAAATGCCCGGTAATCTTATAGCTCATATATGAAACCTGATAGAAGTATTTTCAACTTTAACTATAGTCATAAAAATGTACATGCTAGTACCAATGGGATTCACTATCTGCAGTTATAATAACTGACTTCTGCAAATTTTTTTTT